ATGCCCATGGAGGACAGAAGAGGCTGTCAGATCTCCTGGAACTTGAGTTATGGACAGTTGTTAGTTGCCATGTGGGTGCTGGGATTCAAATCCAGGTCTTCTGCAAGAACAGCCAGTGTTCTTAACCACTGAGCCATCTCTCCAGCCCCTGTCTATCTTTTAAAATATCTATGGAAACACTGTCCTTGGATTCCTGAATAACCTACAACCCCTCCCTGTCAACAAACTTTATTTTATTTTTATTTAAAGAAGTAAAGTGTCCCATATGCTTTTCACTCTCCGGTCAACATCATGAACCATCTGTATTTCTGGGATAATATGGTATGATAAAAACTGGGAAGAAATACAGGGCAGGGGCTGGGGAGATGTCTCAGTCAGTAAAGTGCCTGCCATGAGTGTCTGAGGACTTGGGTTGAATACCCAGCATCCACATAAGAAGTCAAGTACAGCTGGGGAGGTGGAGATAGGAAAATTGCTGGGGCTTGTGGGCCAGCTACCCAACAGATAAGCTCCAGGTTCAGTAAGAGACCGTCTCAAAAAATCAGGTAGAGGGGCTGGAGAGATGGCTGAGTGGTTAGGAGCACTGGTTTGGGTTCAGTTCTCAACACCTACATGGTGACTAATAACTATCCATAACTCCAGTTCCAGAGGATCCAACATCCTCTTCTGGTCTCCATGGACACTGCACACATGGGTACACTTACATGCAGGTAAAACACTCATACACATAAATTAAAAATAAATTGACTTTAAAAAAACTTTTAAAAATCAAAGAGCAAAGAAAATACCCTACATCAGCCTCTAGCCTTTATACACATGAATACACACACACAGTGGTTAAAAAAGAGAAATACAGGGCAAAATTGAATAGAGGAAAAGAGAATTTAAATGATAAATAGCTTACAAAACTAATTATCCCTTCTGCAACAATGCTTTCTTTTATGCTATGTATCCCTATGTGAACTTATTTCATAATTCAGGGCAGGGGTTGGTCTAACAGGTGTCAGAGACTTATAATGAGATGGTTAAAGGCCAATATTCACTCACCTTCTTCTCCTTCTTGCCAAAGCTAAGGCCAGGGGTTCCTTTTTCAACAACTATACACGAGAGGCCTTTGGGGCCAGATCCTCCAGTTCGGCACATGACCACATAGATATCTGACTCACCACCTCCACTAATGAAGGCCTATGGGTGGAAAGGGGGTACATGAGGATTGGATACATAAGTTAGCATGACATCTGAGAAAACAACAACAGAACAAAGGTAGAGACCAAGAAGGGGTAAAAGGTAAATGGCTCTAGCAGTGACTGGAGGATCAAGGATTTAGTTGATAAGAATAGGAAAGAGACAAAAATTAGTGCAACTATGTAGAATCCGATCCTAAGAATTAAACGATGGGATTCTCTTCCCAACATGCAAACTCCCATATGGAAATGTTAACTCAGACTCAAGAAACCAAGAGATGCCAGGAAAAATGTGGGAAATTGCTTCCAAATTGCTCTAGGAATACATGCTTGTACCTTGGAGCCATTGAGGATGTATTGATCTCCTTGTCGTTTAGCTGAGGTCAAAATAGATGCAGCGTCACTCCCACTTTCTGAGTGAGGGATCAAAGGGAGCAGAGAAGGAAGGAAATCAGTGAAGTCAAGGGAGTCCAGCACAATTCCATGTCCTAAGAAATCTTCCTGAGAGTTCAGCATGCACTACTATAAAATCCACATGGCCAGAAGCTGAAAAGATGGCTCAGTGGTTAAGAGCACTGACTGCACTTGTGAGGACCCAGGTTAAATTCCCAGCACCCACATGGTGGCTAACAACTGTCTATAACTCCAGTTCCAGGGGATCTGATGCCTTCTTCTAACCTTCACGGGCATTGTATGACATGGGTGCACTTACGCACATGCAGACAATACACTCATACACATAAAAATAAATAAAAATTCACATGGCCAAAGGAATTCTTTGTACTTGGTGAAAACTGCTTGTATCAAGCAGTCCACTGTCTCTCTCCTAATGCACCAGGTAACAGTGGTGTACAGCTGAGGAACTCTGACCTGAAGGCCTGTGGAACCTGTAATACCAGGCCATAGGACTCTTATCACTCCACAACCTAACTGTGTAGTAAACAGTGATTATGTGTGCCAATGGGTGAGGAATGCTCACTGACTACACACACTCTACTTCCCTCCCTGCTAGGTCTCACCTGTGCGAAGGGAAAACGCACCTGGTTCAGTGAGGCAGTAGGAGGCAAACTTCTCCATGGTACAGAGCTGAGGGCAAAATTTGTGCCTCTGTTCCTCATTTCCAAAGTTATCAATCATCCAGGCACACATGCTGTTTGGTATACCCAGAAAAGGAATTGACAGAAATAAAGACAGAAAATTAGGGCATGGGAGTGGGAAAAAGGTAACAAAAGAGTGAAAGCAGAAGAGAAAGTGGGAAGGGAAAAGAAACAAATGAAAAGATTCAACTTGAAAGCGAGAGAGAAACTTAAAGCATGTTTCTGAAATGGGTACTACCAGAGGCCTAGGTATCTCTCAGCTGGATGCTCCTGCTGCTCCTAATCAGATTAAATGAGCCCCCAAAACAGGGATAAATGTACTTCCTGTTACTTTCTCAAATTACTGGAGGCTTCATTTGTAGACTGAGAAAAACTGGAGAAATCCACTGGTATCAGCACTTCTATTTGGGAGATGGCTGGCAGAGATGATTCTCTGAGCAATGTACAAGACAAGAGAATCAAGTACAGCAGGCACCAGCAGACCTACTGTGTATTAACAGTTTAGTTTCTTAAGAACAATTCATCTTTTTCTCATAAATCCGGTTTCCCCTTCAGCCCATGTGCTTAGCCCTTCACTGTCCTTTAGGGTGTGCATGCTCACTTGTGGATGCTTATGTAGGCAGTGGTGCTGGTGCAGCCTGTAGCCAAGGCTTCAAAGACGACAGAGCTATCAAGTCGAGACAGTCCAGACCCACCAACATCTGTTCGGACGTAGACCCCCCCAAAGCCCAGTTGTGCTGCCTTCCGCATCACTTCCACAGGGAACAGTTCCTACATAAACAAAGAGAGAGCAGGGTCATCAGAGATTGGTTTCCAGACTGACTTTACTTTAGAAGTTAGGATGGTTGCATTTGGGAGTGTAGGAATTCTCTTAACCTCAAATACCTTTGTCATCTTATAGTGACATCAGTTAATGTGTTCTCTAAGAATGTGCTATAGAATTGCCTTAATTTTAGGAATGTCTATATCTTTGTTCAATTAGGAAAAAAAAAAACCTGGTATCTATAGGACATCTGGGACAACTTCTATGAAAGGAATCAGCCATCATCTGTCTTCTTACTTGCAGTAAAAGTTGACGAGTGACACTAAGTAATTAGGACTGTAGAGGGAAAGGAAGAGCTGCTGGAAGAGGTATTGTTTGGACAGCTAGACACAGAAGACGCCTACCTTCTGGTCCCACTCTGCCATATGTGGAGCCATTTCCTGAGCAGCAAAGTCAAAGGCCACTTTCTGAAATCGTTTCTGTTCTTCATTTAGCCCCATAGAAGCTGTGGACAGGAGCAGATATAATCAATCATTCTATGAGAGAGATGAGAGAACTGCACCAACAAGGAAGGAGTGCCTCAAGCTGAGAAAGGGCCTACGATAGCATTCTCAGACATAGCAGCCTTCACCAGCAAGAGAACAGAGCCACCTGTACGTGCTTCGTTTGCGGGCTTTTTTGGTTTGTGCTTTTTGAGACAGGGTCTCACTCTGTAGCAAACGCTGGCCTTGAACTCATGATTCTCTTGCTTCTGCCTCCTCAGTGCTGGGATCATTATTAGTTTCTCAGATTAAGAAGGAACAGTTTTACCTACATTAACCTAGGATAATCACAGCAGCTTCCCAATCATCTCTTACCTTAGTCACTTAGTGAGACACAGTTGCAGCCCTAAATAGGGAGAGCAGTGAAAGCAATGGGGGAGAACTGGAATGCCAACAGGATCAGTGAGAAAAACAAGACAGATAAAAGTACTCAAACACATAACCATTCTTTTAAAAAAAGTATTAAATTTTATTTATTTTCTGTGTATGTATATGTATGGGCATGCATGTGGAGATCAGAGGACAATCAATGAGAGTGCGTTCTCTACTTTCACCATATAGGTTCTGGGGACTCGAACTCAGGACATCAGGCTTGATGGCAAGTGCCTTTACCCACTGAGCCATCTCACTGGCCCATTCTTATTCCTTTTATTCCAAGTGGATCAACTGATATCAACTACCTACTACAAAAATCTTTATCTCTTCTTACTCATGAATCCATATTTAAACAAACAAACAAAGGACTAGGAATATTATTCAATGTTTAAATTCAGTACCACAAAACAAAAACATAAACCAGAAAATCAAAATCATAGTAACCCTCAAACTATATGTTTTCTGATGGGTTGTCCTGGCTTTTCTATTAGTTACTTGGAAAATTCCTATCCGTGCATATCTAGCAGCAGCTGCCTGTCTCCATCAACATGTTCATTTTAAACATCAGTTGAGAAATCATAATCTGTATTCTTCGGCCTATTTTCCAACTAAAGAAATGATGGAAAAATATGGCCATATGTTTGGTATGACTTTTTATTTTATTTAATAACCACATGATTAGAAGAAGCATTTCATTACTGCTTTAACATTCAATAACAATTTACAGAGCAAGGATATATCTCTTTCAAAAGTGGCTATAAATTTTTAGATTCACAGCTGAATTAATACAGTTATACAATATTGAACTCAGTATAAACCCTGTAAGACATAAAATTGAACGAGTTATTACCCTTTAAAGAAGATCTCCACTTCATTTTTAAAAAGGCTGTCTGCTACATTTTTAAGGCTACTAACACTTAGATGTTTGTACATATGTCTTTAATCTCTATGTATCTGATTATTACTAGTCACAGTCAGTTACACACACTCGGATCCTTGGCACCTGGATTTCAGTGGTAATGTTTATCATTCTTCTAATTAATATGAAGTAAATTTTTATGCTTCCTCCTCAAATATGTATTTTTGTTGACTTTTGTGTGTGTGTATATCATACAGAACATCCCACATAATCTTATTCATCTATATACCCACTTCCCAAATGGCACCCTCCCATAGCCTCCCCCCCGCCACACTGTAGCCCATATACTCTGTCATCCCTGTTACTGTCCACTATGTTGTCAGCACCCCCAGCCATTCCCCAGTGCCTCTCCATTTGCTGAATCTAGTCAGCCTATCTAAGATCCTTGTTTTAGGAAGATCAGCTGTTCCTCATCTACCAGCAATCAGTTGTCATTATTCCTTTAGATGATTGGGGGTCTGCTGTTCATTTTCCCAGTTTTATGCTGGGTTACTATCTGAGAGTCTTTTGGGCCACCCTGGCCAATAACTCGAAGGTATTGCCTGTCTGGCATTGTTTCTTGTTATGTAGCCTTTCGCTATATATATGGACTCTTTATATTGACCCCATTAATCCTTGGTTATACTTTCCTTTTGGGTGTTTAAGGCCATACAGTTGGCCCAGATAAACCAATTTAGTTTTACTCTTAAGGTTGTTTGAGGATCTGTTCCTCAGGGGTCACATGGGCTTGGAAGGAGCTGGGCTCCTTTCTTTTACCAGTTCTGTCCATGTGAAGATAAGTCAAAGGTCCTGTTCGACCATAGCTGGCTTTGCATGGAAGCATGGAGGAAGTGATTCCTCTGTGTTGACCCTCCTCTTTGTAGACTGGGCGCTGGTTCAGGTCCATCTGGTGGGGTCTCCACAGCCTCCTTGATCAAGAGGACAGGTGACTCACCACAGTTACAGGACATTTTCAGAGATGCTCATAGTACCCTGGAACTTAGTCGAGCTAGGAGGGAAAGGAGCAAAAACAGTCCTTTATGTCCCTCTGTCCAAATTAGTATAGGCCTCATAGTATGGCTGCTAAACATCCAAGGTTAGTTCTACCAGTCTGGTACTTTTAATTACCATGTGCCATGTTGATAGAGCTTGGATAAAGACCAGACATTCTCAGATAAACCTTGCCTAGACATATATTACATGCTTTGATCTGGTTGTATGTATAATTTGTCAGTAGGTTGTTGGACTAATATGGTTCTGTCTGGTTTTTTAAGACTAGCTAGGCATTATTTATCTCTCGCATTGTCTAACCCTTCCACCATGGTTTTCCCATTTAAGGTGCCCTCGTTTTTCCCATTTTCCCCTTAATAATACCCTTCTCCTATGGTCCTACCTCTCTTGAGCTCCTTCTTTCCCTTTATCCCCTAGTTTCCTTATATAACCTTCCCTCCCCCTTCCCCTTAAAAAATAACTGCATTTTTATCCATATCTCTCTTATTAACACCTATTTTCTACCGTTCTTCTTTTTCAGATTCTTTCTTTCCTTTACCTCCCTGTTTCCTTTCCATTATCCTGGCTCCTCTAGTTATGTCTGGATACATACTTACTTATCAGGGTCTGGTTCCAGGACCCACATATGAGGGAGAACATATGTCGATTTTTTTTCTGAGCCTGTGTTACTTCACTTAGTATAACTTTCTAGTTCCATATGTTTACCTGCAAATTTCATGATTTCATCTTTCTTTACTGATGAGTAAAACTCCATTGTATAAATGAACCACATTTTCTTTATCCACTAGTCAGGCGAGGGACACTTAGGTTGCTTTTATCTCTTAGCTACTGTGGAAAGAACAGCAACAAATATGGATGTACAAGTGTCTCTGCTATAGGATGAGTTCTTTGGGTATACCAAGGAGTGGTATAACTGGGTCAAATGATAGGTTCATTTGTAGTTTTAGAGTTCTCCATACTGCTTTCCATAGGGTTTGAACAAGTTTGGAGTCCCACCAGCAGTGGATGAGCGTTGCCCTTTTCCACATCCTCTCTAACATTTGGTATCATTTGTTCTCTTGATCTTAGCCAGTCTGATGGGGTAAGATGAAATCTTAAAATGGTTTTAATTTGCATTTCCCTAATTACTAGTGATGTTGAACACCTTTTAATATGCTTCTTAGCCATCTTTATTTCTTCTTTTGAGAATGCTCTGTTCAGTTCCTTAGCCCATCTTTTAATTGGGTTATTTCTTTTCTTGATTGTTTTTTGAGTCTGTTATATATTCTGGATGTTAAACCTCTGTCAGATGTGTCAAGATTTTCTGTGTCACTGGTGAAGATTTTCTCCCATTCTGTGGGTTTTCTGTTCTCTTCCCTGGTTGCCTCCTTTGATGTACAGAAGCTTTTTAGTTTAATGAGGTCCCATTTGTTGATTCTTGACCTTGTTTCCTGGGAAGTTGATGTCCAGTTTAGAAAATCCTTTCCTACACCTGTAACTTGTAGGTTATTGCCAATGTTTTCTTCTAACAGTTTCAGAGTTTCAGGCTTCACATTGAGATTTTCGATCCATTTGGAGCCGACTTTTGTGAAAGGTGAAAGACAGGATTTAGTTTCATTCTTCTACAGGTGGACATCCAGTTTTGCCAGCACCATTTGCTGAATATGCTGGCTTTCCTTCAGTGAATGTTCTTGGCCCCTTTGTCAGATATCAGGGTGCTGAAATTGCATGTACTCACATTTGGGTCTTCAATTTTTGTCCATTGATCTATAGGTTTATTTTTGTGCCAGTACCATGTTGTTTTTATGACTATAGCTCTGTAATAAAGTTTAATATCTGGTATAGTAATCCCCCCAGCATTGCTCTTAGTGCTCAGGATTGCTTTGGCTATCCGAGGTCTTTTGTGCATCATTATGAATCTTAGGATGGTTTTTTCCAATTCTGTGAAAAATGTCATGGGGGATTTTGATTGGCATTGCATTGAATCTATAAATGGCTTTTGGTAGGATGGTTATTTTGACAATATTAATTCTTCCAATCTATGAGCATGGGAGGGCCTTGCATCTTCTGATGTCTTCCTCAATCTCTATAAGGATTTAAAATTTTCATTGTAGAGGTCTGTAATGTCTTTAGTCAGGTTTATTCTGAGATATTTTATTTATTTTTGTAGCTATTGTGAAGGGGAGTCTTTCCATGTACTCTTTCTCTGATTGCTTGTTATTGGTATATAGAAAGGCTAGAGACTTCTGTAGATTAATTATGTAACCTGCCACTTTCCCGAACCTGTTAATAATTTCTAGGAGTTTTCTGATGGAATTTTTAGTGTCTCTTCTATATAATATAATATCATCTGCAAAAAGGGATAATTTAATGTCTCCTTACCCAATTATTACTCCTTTAATTTCCTGCTCTTGTCTTATTGCTCTTGCAAGAGTTTAAAACATTATGTTAAAGAGAAGTGGAGATAGTGAACAGCCTTGTCTGATTCCTGATTTCAATGGGAATA